CATGAGCCTGAGTGAGGTTCCTGCACCAAGCCAGGAACTTGTCGACAAGTATGAGAACATGAAAGCTACTTTCTACAAGAGACTGGTCAATGCTTATGGCAGGCTGCAGGGTGCCGTTGGAGACACTGACCAAGCACAGACCACCAGGGATTTCATTGAGTCTCTGAGAGACAAGCCTGAACTGCAAGCAGCTGCCAAAGTTGCAAAGTCAGTGGACTATAACAGTTTCAATTTGAAGAAAGCATTGATGTCAAATTTTTCTTGTGCTTAGTTCAACCATTATATCTTGTTGAACATCAGAAGAATCTGTCAACTTTTGCTAACAGCAAGTAAAGGTTTTTCTACTTTGTTTTTTTTTTCTTTTGCAGGGGTTTGGGCTCAGAAGCAGCTCCAGTGGTGGACAGCGCTCGCTCATCTCTGCTCGGTTTGTACGAACAATACCTGCGCCCCCATGTCGGAAACAGCTTGAGCGAAGCCATCGACCAGATCAAGGTCTACCTGGATCAATACATGCCCGCTGAGTAAAACAATAACAATAATAATAATTCAAAAAGAACCAGCTAGAGTGGAAGTGCTTGTCAGATGCCTGTAATAGATGATAGCTGATAGAATTACACCGGTTTAGCCTGAGAGGAGCAATACTCAATGCAAACACAATTCTTTTGCCTGTTTCTAAATCAACGTCTTTGCCAGATCATGCAGAGTTACAAGCATGGCAAACATGTCACCATGTTCGCAAGTTCTGCATGTAGAGTACTATATGTCTGATACACTAACAGTGTCTGTGTGACTGTGTACGTATGTGTGTGCGTGTTCAATAAAACGTACTAAAAACTATGAAACGTGTCCAGAAATCCCTTCATTAAAGAATCACTTGAACAGAAACAATGATGCAGATTTATTTTGTTACATTCATTTGGTTACTACCTAAAAATCATTCATTGTCATGTTTCATTATAGGAATTTATCAGTCCTCACTTCAGTTCAGCCAATTAATTCCTATTTTACAAAAATGAGTATCTTTTCCTGTATTTTAAATGTAAGCATGGTGTACTACTTGTTAGCAAGATGAGACTCCAGGAAGAACATTTACAGCTTTATTTTGTGCACAGAACATTTGAGCCTCCAATTCATAAGGTTGCATACATATTACAAGTGACTGCTTAAAAGCTGCATGTGCTGATCCAGCACTTCAAATACTATTTGCATCTAGAGATGCATCTAGCATTACAATGTGGTGCTAGTTTTATGATAGCATATTGTGCAACAGCCTGGGGAGGATTTGTGGCTTTTTACCTAATTTAGGACAAACAACAGATGGACACAGCTTTTAAATTGAATTGAAACAAACAAAAAGTTCCTATTTTTCAATTACGCAGCATTTCATGCAAAAAACTAACAGCAGACAGGGCCGAACACGATGCAGGCTTATAGTGACAGAACAAGTATGCAGCTTTAGTGTTTCTCCTCAGCAGGACTGGATGATACCCAGAGCTTCGCTGACATTTTGAACCCTGCAGCTGGACACAAACTGCCCTGAGCGACATGACATGTGAGTCTGAATCACATGATCGGCTCCATGTAGGTGTTACAGAGAAGACTCAAATGTTAACTTCAGCTTGTAGTTTACAAAATTATTACACACAATTTCACCTTAAACTGAGTAAAACTGTATTCATAGTGAAAGCATGCATTTTTTGTTGTTGAAAATGCTCTTTATCTTAAGCTCAACCCACTTTTAAAGTGTTGTGTTTATTTTTATAATTGAGTAAAACATCCATAATTGTGGAAAGATTATATGTTTTCAATTCTTCATTTTTAAAATTCAAACTTAAAAAGAGTAACACAAATTTATATTCAGCACATTTTTACTTTTTAACCACTTAAATGATATCCTGCACAAGCAACTGCCATCAGAGGTCACATAATTTGTATAAAGGTACCCATCTGTGATACAATCACAGTACAGCTGTTTTGTGTAGAACTCAGAGAATGAATTTAATCAATGAACAAGCGGCATCACGAACACCAAGGAAAACAGCAAACAGGCTGAGGATAAAGTCAAGAAAGTGTTGACAGACTGGCTAAATTATTGAAGAAAAGCTAACGGAACTACCTCCATAATTTTCTTCTATCCTTGTAGGGACATTGCCTGTGGTCGGAGGTATTTGGGTGAGTATCGTAACACACCATCAACACGCCAAGTTTACCATAAAACATGGTTGTCACCGTATATTTACTGTGGGGAAGTATTAAACCACGGGTCTGAATACATACGTAATGACTGTGTGAGTGGCACTTTGTAAAATAAATATTAAAAGTACGCTCTACCTTTTGTTGTGACCTATCTAAATTCCAAAGAGATACACCACATTTCTATTCTTGAGGTTGTAAATCAATTGATCACAGTGGAATCTGAGACGCCTGTGAGAGGGATATGAATACTTTTCAATGTGCCAGTTTAAGGAGACAGAAATGTGTAAAATATCAGCTGTGACTACTATTTTATCTGCATCATATGTTTTAGATGCAGCCAGCTGACAAGAATATCAGTCAGCAGATACGCTTTTATTGATAATAAAGTGCATCAATGGAGTATCTCTTTGAGACAAGGACCAATTATGACATATTAAATTGTGTCTAACGCATCAATGACGTATGTATGCAGGACAGGAAAACAACTGTATCTGACCCACCACTGTATTCTTGTTGACACGTCATCGTACTGTATAAAACTGAGTTTGCGTTTCAATGCATTGCCTTTCCCCGCCTGGGACTGATCCTAGTTTTGAGCTTGTGTTCGCTTCCTTTATCTCTTGAAATGAAGAGAAGAATTCAGCTGACTCATATGTCCCTTAATTAAAATGTTTACATTTTCTTGACACTTCTATGCGTACAGCTGTGACCATGGCAGACAGACTTCTGTAATTTAATGTTTTGAAACATTTTAGTTAGATATCTATGATATAATACATTTCAATAATAAAATCACACAAATCCTACATTAACTTGATGTGAGTAGGGATGAGTCGAAAACCAGGTGTCAGTAGAGAGAAGATTATTCTGATGTTGGTTGCTGTAATGTCACATATTTGTGTGATGACTTACTGCACACGCATTTTGATTTAGAAAATATTCAAAATGGCGGTGTAGTAGAATCGTCCTCATTTTACAAAAAGGACACCGGGGCCGACTGCAACATGTATAGTTTTAAACACATTAAAAGCGTGGAATACCTCCAACAGTTGAACACACATCATACGACCGATTTGTACAAAAGTAAAGTTGTTTGATATGTTGCGTAGCACCGGCGGAGACTCTGAATGAGGGGAGCTTCCAGCACTGAGTCTCCTGCTCTGCGTGTCCCTGGAAACGTTAAGCTCATCTACGTCCTGATTATTGTATTAACATCAGCATCACACTGTGTGAATAATATCGAAATAACAAAACTGCTTTTTATTTCCAAAATACAATTTTTATCTGAGAAACAGGCCTCATGTGAGCAAATTCTTTCTTATTCAATATGACTGAATTTTTATGGTGATGCACCAATGACTGAAATGTTTTAATATCCAAAAATATACCTGTATTTCTCTTCTTTCAAATCCTTAAAAAAAACGGTTAAGGTCTTGTACTACATCTGTTGTCTTATCAACAAACATTGCTGGGTAGTTCGATAATATCTCTGATATTTATTTTATCAGACATGTTTGGATAGTTGTTCTGCAAATTCCATGAACTGAGATTAAAAAAAGATCATGCTAAGAGTTTAGCAATAGCTAGCATCAGTACATATTAACCAGATTCAAAATATTTACAGTCAATATGACCACAGGTTAAAGGTCGACAGAGGAAAACACAAACAAAAGTAAACAATGGTAATGAATTTGTTCTCTGTAATAAGAAATACATGTTCTCACTGTTTATTTAAAATAAAAGGAATTTGTAAAATCTGAATAAAAATAATGAACTGGGAATGTATTTGCTTTTTTGACATTTTCATTTTTGAATCTTAAAAATAATGACGAGATTGTTTAAGGTTCTTCAAAAGACACTCAAATGTTCTCAGACTTATATAAAAAAACAGAAAAAAAAGCCTAATTTCAACATAAACATAAGAAATGTACTATACAGAGGCTTGAATTTTTGTGTGATAAACACCAAATATTTGTTCATAGTTCATAAACGAGTAGATTTCTTTCCCCCTATTTTTTCCCCGAGACTTTTAGGAGAATATTTCTAGGCTGTTGATACAAACTTGGAACGTTTTGAAGACAAGCATCATGTTAAGTCGGGCATTAAAACTAACAGACCCTTTTAGAAAAACACAATATAATATCAGTCAATCATATGGCAGCAGGGGTACAGGTTGTGCTTCAGGACATGGGTGTCTTGCTATAACTGATGGAAACTTGAATTCTCTCAAGCAGATAATCCTCAAGGATCATGTCTCTGCACTAGTTCATGCACACTTTTATCACCTGAGGTAAAAGATCAGAAACACATTAAGGTGGTCAATGTGTGTCAAAAGTTTTTTTTCTGGTGTGAACTATGGGGACTAACAACCCGACTCAGGACTGATGACGTGTTAAACACACTGTCGACTTAGGACCAGTTTAATAGTACATAGGACTGAACACATCATTCCTGTTATGCAAGTAACAACGAACCTTCCTGTGGACGTGTGAGTGGCAGAAGCTCCTGACCTAATCAATAAGAAGGATCATTGACTGAGGCTGATTCAATTTGAGTTTACACAAACAGATGCAGAAGAATAAAACATCCTCACAGCTACGCAATACGTCCACCTGACTGCAATCGTCTGGTCAAGGCGTTTACAGTCATTTTTTAATATGCACAATCTCTTATATGAAGATGCAATGACACACTTCACCAGGACAACGCATATCAGAAAACAATTCTGGGTTATCTCCCTGGTGGAGTGCACTTTGGCTCTGAGAGCAACAAGTCAACACATTTACACTCCTATATAAACAGCTCAGGCCAGCGGTGCCTCCGACTTTGTTTTCTTTTTCTCATTTCTGCACAGGAAAACAGTGAGTACTGAACATTTTGCCACATTTCTGAAAAAACAAAAAATGACGTTACGGTAGACCAGTTAGTGTGTATTTATTTGAATTTGGCTTGCATTTCAGAATATTCAAATAGGAACATATTCTATTTTTTAGTTACAAGATGGAAAACAATTAACATGTATTGTTACTGTATTATTGAAGCATGAGAAGCAACAGTGGGGAAATCTTAGATAATGTCTCACCCTAGTGGATAAAGAGGTGTAAGGTTTCAGTTGTCTTTGCTGTCTCTCTGTTCACAGATCCAAAGCACCATGAATAAACTGCTGGTAGTTACTGTGTTGGTTGCACTTCTTGCTATCAGTAAGTGTATTTTTACTCGTATAAAAACACTGGCAGAAAATGATTTTAGTATACCAAAGTATATTATTCCACTGATAAAGTTAGAAAACTAAGTTGGGTTTCTGTGTTTTCGTGTTTTGCTTTGAAGTTTGTTTGTGTAAATGTAGCAAAGGACAAGTAAGCATTGATTAGAAATTACAAGATTGAATAAGTTACATTAAAATATTAAAATTTTTATTGGCATTATTGGCATTTTTATTGGCATTGTAGCTCAATTAAAAAATTGAGCTACAAATTTTAGTTTGGCAAAAAGAAAAAGAAAAATTGTGTTTATGTTGTTTTTAGCATCATTTCTTGTATTATTTTCCATTCTCACTGCATTTTTACAGTGTCACTCAGCTAGAATAAACCTGGTTAAAAAGCATAATGTGGCTTTGAAAATATTAGGAACTTATTTCACATTTTGTCATGCAACATTTTCCAACTTATGAAGAGGGTTGAATCCAAATGTAAATTGTCAGGCAATGTTCTAATTTGTGTTGGTCTATTCCATACAATTCTGACAAAATACACAAACGTAAGTACTTGTAATGTGACAAAATGTCCCATTACAATGTGACTAGGGCTAAGAATACTTCAGCAAGGCCATGAAAATAGTTTCTAAAGTCAAAACCACTTCGGACCACTTCTCTTGCAGATGCCGAAAGCTTTCGTTTGAGAAGGCAAGTGGAGGAGGAGGAGGGAACGCTGAACAAGATCTCAGGCACTGTCAAGTCCTACTACAACAGCGCTGTGGACACCGTCAATGGATACGTGGACACAATCAAAGGCCTGAAACTCCAGGAGAAAGCACAGTAAGAATATGTCGGTGGCTTCATTGATAAAGCCTGAGCAGAAGTTCGGATTCAAAAACCAAATTGTTCCTTTTCGTTTCTTTCGTCTTCAGGAATCTTTACACCGAAACCACTACAGTTGTGAGCACCTATGCCGGCATATTCCAAGACCAGCTTTACCATTTTTTTCACCAGTAGGACAAAAAAAATACAAATACATCGCACTGCTCATCCTGCACATGAAAGTGTCTACACATCATTCGACACCTTAATGTTTGGTTCTCATCACCAAATGGAGCCTCACAACTGAAATAGTTATAAAAAGCGCATTTGCTTTTTATAGTGCTTTTTAAACCACTGAACTGATGACAACACATATTGGAGACATCCTGACTTCACAACCTGCCTAGAGGAAATGGATGGCCAAATGTGGTGAGCACATGGGGCACTCAATATCCTGCAGATAATCTCATGTCCACCTAGTTGTGTTGCATTCCCTCTTAATTTACTTAAATCAGCCATTTCACCCCTTGATGAGTGTAATGTTTGTGTCATATCGTGAAATAAAGTATTTATACAAAAAAGGCATTTGCAATTTATTTACAGGAACAGACTGCCATGTTTTTGGACTCTACGCCTGTTTGTGTCTCCTTTCATCTCACAAAGTCCCACATTTCTGTGTTGATCAATTTTCAGTCACAAACAAGTTTTTGTTTGTGACTGAAAATCAGAACCCATGTTTCTGCTCCAATTAATAATGAATGAAAAAATAAGTCAAATATGAATGTAGTGAAACTAACAGATGACTCAACAACAGATTATGAAGGCTGTTTCATCAGCGCAGACAACTACTGATGCAAGATGGTATTGATTTTTAATGAATGCTTCAATCTGCAAGACACAAACGCTTCTGAAGTTACACCACAACAAAAAAGCAAATGAGACAATAGAAAGTTTATTGATGCAATTTTTAAATACCAAATAGTATTATTGATTGAGTTTTAGATGTGTATGTTGTTTTTTGTAGGCCTTCCTGTATTTTGGATACAAATCTATATTTTAATTTTCACACTTTAGTAAACACAATAGACAGGTTCAATCTAGTATGATGTCAATATTTCCATTTGTCTGAAAATTCTTTGGATTCTGTCTTTTGGGAAAGAATAGGGAATAGTACATTCTTTTACAGTTTCAGAAGTTTCAGGTTTTGCTTTTTTTAATTAGACCTTGAAAAGGCAGTTTGATTTTTTTATTTATTTATTCTGTTTTATTTTATTTGCTTGTTTTTTATTTTAATCCCAGGAGGACTTTTTATGCGCTTTATATGTTTGCATCTTTATTTATTTTTATTCTATATTTACATTATACCTTTTTTGTTAGATGTCTTACTTTTACAACTGTGTGAAATATCTATTTATTTATTTACTTATTTATTTAATCGTTGAGTATTTTATGCTGTGCTACAGATAATTTAATGCACAAATCCCTCCACCACATTAAGATGACTGGTTTTGCATTCAGACCCTGACCTCTTTTAGATAATTTTTTTGTCCAGTGTTACCTTTAATTGAATATATTGTATTTCATATGAACTTATCCTTCCATGCACCCTTGCTAGCAGCGAGGATGGGGAGCTTGGTTTCTCTTTTAAGTTCGACATTTGGCTAAAAGAGCAGAGAACGCACAGCGCAAAACAGAATCTCCTAGAACGGACAACCTTACTTACACACACATAAGCGCACTTCAAAGTGACCACTTAACCAAGCACACTTGTTTTTGGGAGGAAGACAAAGCACCGAGTGAGGACCCACTCTTGCACCGGAAATGTACAAAGTCTTGCAGAAAGATGTTGGAAAGTATTTAAACTCAGGGCCATCTTTCTGCAAGGCAACAATGCTAAAATCTCCATTTATTCAAAGGGGCTAAAGCAAAAGCAGGTAGTTATTCCTGTCCTTCTGTGGTTGTAGTGTGCCCCATTGTGGTACAGAAGAATATAAAACTTTATCATTATTGTTATTATTTAAATTATGGGCTTTATTTGAGCTCCAATAAAATGGAACACATAAATCTGAAAGGCATATGAAACACATATTTAACAGTTCATTAAAAATGTTTGTCTTTTTAACTCTTTTTGTTTCACAACTGCCAAATAAAATATTTAAAAATATTTTTTTTTTAAATTTAAAAATCATACATTTATTCTTGCAAAATCAGAAGTTTGTCAAGAAAGTTTACATAAACTTTGAGTCTCTAACTTTTGCATTATTTGAAAATACAACCGTGGCCCAGGGCTATTGAGGTAATAAACACCGACCCAACTTTTACAGAAGGCACACACACAGATAACCTCCTGCACAGTGATGCTTCCCGACATTGACTGGTTTAATTGCTTTAAGGAAGAGAGAGTAGGAACGATAAGTTGACTTCTGGAAACAGGTTTTGTAATTTACTGTGACTTGTTTTAGCCTTTGGATTAGCAGCCACCAACCTTTAGAACAGTCGGTCTCTCTTTACTCAAGCATATCACACTCTTAATCGCTTTAAGTCATTCATAAATGTTATTTTTGCATCTCAGAATATATACAACGTATTATGACTATTAATATGGTGAACTATTAACTTTAGAAAAGAGACATATCAATCTTGACACAGCTCTTATCTTCTTTCTTATTACTTGATGGAGTTGCACAAAACCTTTGCTCATTTATCTAGGACACTAACATTGGGACAAAGGAACCATAAAGAAGGTGAAAATAGTCTGTACTCATCTTTATGCAATTCAAAAAGACATTTACTCACAAACTGATCAGATACAGCATTGGTGACTGGCTAAATGATCTGATTTATCTCCTGCACAACATCCTTCACGTTGGTTTGCACAATAGATGTATCTTCCCATGTAAAATTATGTCACAATAAAATGTGTTACTCTCAAAGTTATATTGAAGTAATTTTACAAACTGATGGGAACCAGATCATTTCTAAGTCAAAACTAAGAAATTTCAAAGACAAACACAGGATTTATCCCATATACACATACTATTTATTACAAGTGTACCAAAATAAAAACAAGCTTGTCTTTGACTTTGTTCAAAAAGAAATAATATTTAATAAATATAGAAAACAAAATTTGATACATTGTGCCAGATTACAAAGCTTTCAGCAATTCACATTTACAGTCTTTGCTCCTGTCTCCTTGAGTTCTAGCATAACCTTTGTATGTCTGCAGTGGTTTGTTTAACACTGAATGGTGAACCAGCTTGGTTTTTTGTATTTTTTGCATTGTGTTATCATCCTCTCACCAATCCTCTCACAAGATACGCCATATCTTTTTGCTAACACATGGATTTTAAACAGACACCTGCAAAATCACACCTGTGCTAATATCTGTCCATGAACAGTTTCCGTCAAATCAGAGGTGGCCTGGGTCACTTGTTATCTGGGAAGAACAAATTATTCCCTTTAGATAAAGGGGACTGTCAAATCTCTTTACAGGAAATGAGATGCGTCGTTTAATATGTTGCCTAATAAAGGTGTTGTATATTACTCTGATAAGACACAAGGGTTCCAAGACTGACGGGGAAGTGACGTTGAATTTTAATAAGTATCCAGCTCCTCCCTAAAATAAATTACAGGTTGTATTGTAGGCTTTGTCTCTCCATTGGAAGAAACTCAGAGAAACACAATGCATCTTCTCCTCCTGGCAGCTACCTTTGTGCTTGCAGGTAAACCTTTACAGGATGCTATAGAAAAATGCTAAGGCTTACCCAATATTTATAGCTTCCTCTTGTTGTCATCGGTGCTTTGTAGGAGCCTACCCACTGGAAGACGTGAGAGAGTGCCAGCCTCACTCAAGGCCCTGGCATGTGAGCCTGCATGGTGGAGGAGTGTCATGCAGCGGAGCGCTCATTGACCCGTGGTGGATAGTGACTTCATTTGAGTGTGCACCTATGTAAGTGATGGCAACAAAACAAAAAGCTGTTTAGAAATAAATATTACATGGCTTTTGTTGTGAATAATGTTTAGTTTTTCAGTCATATGCGTTGTTAGACCGGGAAAAGCTCAAACTGACTGTTTGGAAATCTCAGTTGGGTTCCAGCTTAATTGTAGACCATTATTCAACCTGTTGTTCATGTCTGTGTAAGACATTCTGTTTCTCTCTTATTGTCCTTTTTTCTGTCTGAGTTTGATCAATTATACGCCTCTCCTTGTTTCTTTGCAGAGCCTATCAGACCGTTGCGTCTCTTGGAGAACATGACTCAAGTGTGGAAGAAGGCACAGAGCAGCACATCTTAGTTTCTGATGCGATCCAACACAGCCCCTACCGCTCGCCTCTCCACAGCCTCACCATGGTGCGTCTGTCTGAACCTGCCAGTTTTAACCAGTATGTCAAACCAATCCCACTACCAACCCGCTGTCCAAAGCCCGGAGAAGTCTGCTCCATCAGCGGCTGGGGCTCCACAGAACCAGACCAGTGTAAGTGGATTTAAAGGCGGTAATGCTGATTTTGATCTTATTTTCTTAGCATTTAGGCGAGGATACAGCATCAAGTGTAGGTTTGAGAAACTGACTGTATTAGCAGACCAAAGCTCTTTCAGCTCAAACCTGAATCGGGGTTACTCCTGAAGGCCATCAAATAAAATGCATAAAACGTGAAGTTTATACATTTTAAAAACGTACAACAATATTGTATATTGTTCTATACAATATGTGTGTATAGAGCATATTGAAAAAGAAAAGTTGTTACAAAGTTTGTTACAAAATCCTCAAACAAAAAAAGGTTGGAAATTACTAGTAAATTTCCAAATTGTGAATAAAAACCAATTCATTATAGTTTAACATTTTAAGATATCTTTAACATAAGGTATGTTAAACTATAATGACATAAAAACTTCAGTATTGCTTTTTATTTGATTTGTCTGAACAGAAAAAATGTTTTGTATATTTCTCAAAGTGTAATTTATTTCTTATCAAATTACTCAAAAATAATGAAACTGCCATTATATGTTATAAGAAAAACACACCGGAAAACTAATAATTAATGTAATACAGAATCAATTTTATAACTCATTACACATGTTTGTTTCCTAATGATCCAATGAGATAAAAAGGTAAGCAATGGTAGATGATTGGACAACAAAAAGTGTTGCTAATTTTACTGTGTTGATACAAGGAAAAAATTGTTTTCTGAAAAAAAAAGTTAAAATGTGTGTTTGATGATTAAAGACCTAAATTTTTAATAAAGTTTATATGTTTTCTGGGATGTAAAGGAATGGATTTCACAGCTGGTACTTGATAAGAGTATTTTAAGGGGAAGAGTTATGTAGAAGAGAAGAAAGGAAAGATGGAATCAAAGTTTCAGAAACACCATAAATCTGGTGTTTAATTTCTTACACCAGACCTACAATGACAAAACAGAAATACAGAGTACCTACTTTGTTGCCCAACAATAAGTTGATATTTTCAGAACCTGCTTCAGTTTCTGCTCAGGGATTATCATCTGTTCTTCTCTCATTTATGGGGAAAGGTCGTGGACTTTGGTTCAATTTGTTGGCGTCTAATTTTGAATGGGTAGAGCTTGACTACCAATTCAAACTCAGGATACACATGGGTTTTAATCTGGAGCTCATTTTTATTCTAGTCACTTGAGTCTCCAAAGAGGAAAGAATGTTTTTTTTAATCATTTCCATTTAAAATCAGTTTCTAATTACCTGCCAGAGCACCCAGCCAGTGATCAGAACTAATTAAAAGAGGTAGACTCTGAAAACAGGATTTGCTGAAGGATTAGATCTTCATGCTCCATATAATCTGTTAAATCCAGTGTAGAATGAAAGATTGTTTTGTTAAATACCTGCATTGGGTAGCAATTTGACAAGCAATGGAACACAGATTGTAAACTATTTAAAACAAAGATAAGATACCTGTGTGAAATGAAGTAAACAGTTTAAAATAAGTAACAACTTTCCTTCCCTCTCCTTAAATCAGATGACCCTTCCCAGCACCTGAAGTGTCTTACTGTGCCGGTGGTGAACGATATGATTTGTTTCAATACCTTCCCTTCATATCTGTTCTGGGGTGTCATGGTCTGCGCCGGTCAAGCAAACACAGATAACTGCCTGGTGAGCATCGACACGCAGCAGAGATACTGATGCTGACTGTTTTTGATCCCGTCCACCCTGCGCCCTCCAGAGCTGTCTTCCATCACATAACCTTCAGTTTTCTCAAAGTGTTATGCCGTGTCTTTTCAGACCGGTAGGAGCAACGTGATGGTGTGTGCCGGTGAACTGCAGGGTTTGACGTGGTTCAATCATGGCTGTGAGGATCCAGCTCACCCCCACAGTTTACACCAAGATGTGTGAATACACCCACTGGATTAAAGAAATGATGGCCATGTATTCTCCCGAGACTACAACTCCTTTCCCCTGGATACCATAAGGCAGCTTTGGCACGCACATCTGCATTTTATATGGGAGACTGTTTTTTTTACAGATCGCTCCTCACAACTGGAAATGTTTCCTTGCTATGTGTTTTGTTAAGGTTTAATGAGATTTTCTGTAAATAAAAGACACGTAAATGTTTCCTGTAGTTTTGATTTTATCCATTTTGTTTTACCACTTTTGGTTGCTTTCTGTAAAGGTTTCAAATACTCTTGTTTTGCCTCACAAACTGAAAACCAACAAGTTAGGTGACTTGACATTAATATGACAAATGACAACCAAATTGACAACAATGCCCAAAGCATGATGCTGCCTCTGCCTTGTTTTCTTTGCATAGTGTATTCCAGTATTACATGTTTTCCAGGTAAGAAATGTTCAGTCAAATCTGCTTGTTTAAGTGTTGGAAAACAAGATTCATCTGACCAGGCTACCTTCTTTCAATTCACTGTGGTCTAGTTCTGAGACTTAAGCTTTAATTGGTAGTGTTTCTAGAACTGGACAAGGTCAGCATGAAAACCTGGCTGCTCTTTGGCTATCTCCAGCCAAAGAGCATCATTTGGCACTTTTCAAACTAACTTTCTCTGTAGTTTGAGTAATAGTGGCAGATCTATTAAATTTCACTCCCAACATTTCTAGATGAACCTTGGCCATCTAAAATCTCACCTTTAGTTCCCCACTGCTTCTTCATTGGACCACTTTTAATAACGCTACAGCTGCTTTGACCCAGTGGTCTAGTTATCACACTCTGGCCCTTGTAAAGCTCTCTTATTTTGGACTATTCCACTGGGAAAACTTGAGTAATGTTATCCAGGTGTGTGTTATTGTGAACTATAACACCTAAAAAGAAGTATGGTTAATGATCGTCTACAACCTTTTCTAGATGGTTTTGGCCTCTTTCAGAAGAATAATGATCCCTGCCAAAAAGAAAGAATGTTTTGGGAATTGTTTGAAGAGCACCACCATGAGCTGTGTTGGTTTGGCCTCCAAATTCCCGAGGTTTCAGTTTAAATGTGCATCTTTGGAATGTGCAAGACATAGACACCTGATCCACAAAGGGTGCATATTGCAAATTATCGAAAGATATGCTGATAATATCTTACTGCCAGATACCAAAAACCCTTTTACTTCCACTATTAGGTTTTCAAAATACAGAAAATAATATAACTTTAAAGAAAAATTATGGATACATTTTATTCTATGGTATGTTGATAATAGTGGAAATCATGCAGAAAAATAAGCACAGTCTTCAATGTAATGGCAAGAAAAAAGTTTTAACTGCACATTCAATATTATTCTACTGTGGAAATTTAAATTATTCCCTAAAAAGATCTCTGGCATTGTGGAATCAATACCTCAAAGGATCTGGACTGTTTAGGCAGCAAAGGCAGGTAATAGGTAGGTGGTGATGTTGTTATTTTTATCAAAAGAGGCCAAAAAAATTCTTGAGAGAAAGCAGCACAACAAGAAATGAACTGGACTGATTTAACTCTTGCCAAATCATACTGACCATTCAAAGTATTTCACACTAGAACCATATTCATCCATTTGCACTCACAAACAAGCATGCATTGTTTGAAAAAACAACTTTGAGTGAGATGCCTTGCCCATGGGCAAGGCATGATAAGGAGAAGATGAAATAAAACCTGCAACCTTCCAATTGCAAGAAAATCCCTCTGTACATTGAGCCACAGTCGCTCTAATTCTTTAAAATCTATCCTTCTAGTGACTGAAAGGGATAAAATAAAAACTACTATATTAGGGCTTTCTAATAGATTACTGCTTGTTATTGCATCTTTAAATGTCATCTATCAAATTTTGTTCTCTTTCACAATGAATTGCGTCTGGAAATTTTCTGCCAAGGCTTAAAAATGCTGCAATAATACAAGGTACAACTAGAGGGCGGTAACACCTAATGATTCAGGCACAGCGAGCCGAGAGAAAGAGTAAACAGGTGATGGAAATCCTACATTTTTAAGGTTTTTCTGTGAAGTCTACAAACACGCCCAGCCTTTTGCGAAAGAATGTTACAGCCATAAACACATGGATGTGATCTAATGTTACCGAGAAACAAAGAAACCGGGGGAACACATGGGGTAAGTCAGTTTCACATGCAAACACACCAATACACAAACATGCAAAGTGAATGACAGCTGTGTCCATAAGCACCCAAAACACAGGGTCAACTCTGCCATCTGCTTCCAGCATTTCTCTCCTGATCCACACCCCCACTTTTCCTGTTTTTGCACCTCAGTGGGAGAAAGAAAGCAAACTGAGGGGTAAGTAGTAGTCACTTCAGAAATCATTGTATTAATTGGTGTGATAGTTTAAAGCACTTTTGTGTTCTTTTTTTCTATCAACTTGAAATATCACATTTCATAATTAAAATATACAACTGAGTGATATTGCTGATATATTAGTAATTGATAGCTTTTATCAGCATCATAAGATAATTATTCCCTTAAACAATAAACCAAAAAGAACTGGTTGGAAATATGAAAGGACTGTAATAATCCTTGATGAACTTTATCTCTGGCCTTTCAGTTGTGTTTCCCAAATGGGTTGTGACTTGTAAGATGGCTCAGGCTAGTGAGGGTTGCAGTGCATGAGAGGTTGTTCTGGCTTCTTTTCTGACCTCCTGGAAAAGTTTTGTACTTATTATTGAACAAAACTGTTCCACATTTTCACCATTTGTTAACTGCATTCAGAGGCCCAACAGTCCGGTGAGGTTTTGTATTCACTTACATTGATCTTGTCATTAAAATGTGTTTGAGCTTGAACATTAAAGTGTGACAAAAGCCAATTAGAAAATCTGCATTCTTTCCCACAGAATACTATGTCAACAAACAACTTAAAAACATCATCCACAAAAAAACATTAGTCAGAAAGTAATGAGTCCCTGTCGCTAAAACCACTAATTCTTCATAGAAGCCTTTATCACAACTTTTTAGATGTTTTAACATTCTTCTCAACTAAAAATTAACTCATGGAGATCATAGATAAAAAGTCACTAGAAGTTAAACATTGAAATGGAGCCTGTAGGAATAATGAAAGTCCCATTCATCCATTCAGTTAATCCATTCAGGAGTCGACATTGACCTCTAGCAAATCTAAATGTGGGCCAACAGTTATCATCTTCATGAACCTTGCTCAGTGTGTCTCAAATGCCTTACTGGTGTCCAAATGTCAGTGACTTCCAAAATGAGATTCCTATTTTCATTTGATGGCCACTAACCATAAGTATCAATACTGATGTCATTCAAACAACACATGGATGTTTCTTTTGCATTGTGGAACTGGAATTTAAAATTTATTTCAATACAATCAGGGTCTGGATACATAATTATGTTCCTGGGTGACAAATCTTCCACTAATATCTCTCAGTCTTGTTGGACTTAACAAGTTGACCTCTACTAATGGTTAACTTTTGCTCTTTTCATTCCCTTTACACTCCCTTTAAAGAAACAAATTATAAATTGTAGCTAAGTTTCTAAAGGTCCTCCCAACCTCCTCCTCTGTCTTTTGGCAGCCATAACTCAGGCGTAAAAGCCTGGCTTACAGCGAAAACAAATATCACCCTCATTTGTCCAAACCTCCTTGGTAGAAAAGAAAAACTGATGAATGAGGGAATTAAAGTGAATGATGACCCAAAGGAGGAAATATTTTTCTTAGGTTGTGACAGAGCTTATCAGTGTTGCATGGGTACAATTTCTGCAAACCAAACCCAGGGCGTCTTCCTCCATTCTTCCATCTCCCTTCATCGCGCCATTTCTTTGGCAAACTGTCACCATCACTCACTGACGGCTTACATTCCCAGCATTCCCATGGCACCTGGCTCACAAGTGGCAAACGCGTGCACAAACCAGGCAAAAGTGCACAAAGCAGCTCGACTTTTTCACCAACATGCCTCCATCAAATGTTTTAACTTCCCCAAAAACTGACAGGTCTTTCTCACACAGATGAAAATTAATAGGGTGAGCTGGCTTGCAGTGCATTAGCTCAAGCTGATGCATGTGTGTAAGTGCGTGTTTCACTGCATTAGGCTCACTGAGGATAGCACAGGCCAAGTCAATCATGCTGGATCTCTCCCTGTTGTCCCATTGAGACCTGCGGCTCATCAGGGGAGATAATTAGTCTGAAGAGCTTTAATGATACTTGCCTAATAGCTACGAGCACACAGAGGCAGCAGTGTGTATGTGCGCACCGCCATGTGAGATGCAGAGAGAGCGCAGATGTGGGATGCATCTCTGAAAGGTGGTGAGTAAGCGAATAAGTGATTAAAATCCCGGCTTGTATGCGTTTATGTGTGTTTGTGTGCATGCATTCAGAGGGTGATAATATTCAAACTGATGAGATAATGAACGCTGGGGCTATCAAGCTCCAACCCACACATTTGCAGAAAAACGCAGAAGAGTCTTGCTACTCCCTGGCTCCTTGTTAGCGGGGAGCTCTTCGTTTGTTGATGCCTCCTGCACAGAGCAACCTTGACACAAACCGAAGAAACATAGCAAGCGGGAGACAGAAAAATATCGAGGTTCAGGGGATTGGATTATATTTGCATATTGAAAATTGTTGCGAATATAAATGAGCATGTGCACTTTGCTAGAGACACGCAGTTTAGTAAATACAGTTACAAAGCACACTGCAGTTTCTTGGCTCATATTTTTAGTTTCTGAGCCTGGAAACAAAAACAGTGGCATTTATGTATCCTCATAATTTTTAAGATGTTTTCCCAAAATTCAAATTTAACAAAGCGGAATCCAATAAACAATTTTTTTTTTTCCATTTGGTACTATAATTTATTCAACAAAATGAACGAAGAAAGAAAAACAAATAAAATCATTCAGTCTGTAAATTTATAATTATCTCATATTCTCATGAAAATGAAATAAAACTGAATCTTCTAAATTAAAAATGTTGTTTATAAATAAATAAGCAAAGAGATTTTGGAGATGTTTCTAACAAGTTTTATATCAGTGTAGAAGAAAGTCACTAAATATCTCTTAAATGTATCATGTTAAGTAGGGATTCAGGCTGGATTTACAATAAACCTTCATCTCTCGTCAAGACTGTGGCTTGAAGAAACAGATAACTCCATAACCTTCATTCTGAACAAAAATAATCCCCTCAAAGTCTGCTAGACAGACCTTC